TCTCTCTCTCTCTCTCTCTCTCTCTCTCTCTCTCTCTCTCTCTCTCTCTCTCTCTCTCTCTCTCTCTCTCTCTCTCTCTAAAATGCACGCGCGCGCAAGGGAGGGGGGGAGCTGCTTCTGGTATTGCAACGCCATGCCCCCTTTTGAGATCCCGAGCTTTTCTCCATTCAGATTTCCACCATTCCCCCCTATTGCGATGCTTTTCACGCCTTTTATCATCCCAATTCCCATCCCAGAACGCCTAATGCGATGCTTAACCGACACAACTCCTTCTCCCTCGTGATTTGGAAGATCTATCGCGTCCCCATTTTCAACCCCCTCCCACCTCCCTCCTCCCAGGATTTCCACTCTTTATGTCCCCCTCATTTGCAAGCACCGCCCCCTCCGTCACAGGCCAAACAACAGGACAAGACCAACCAGGATATCAAAACACCCTTGCCTGCAAACAAGCAATCCCAGATAACAAACCTTTCATACTCACCAGCGACTCTGCGTCAAACTCCAAGACTCCTCCTTTGCGATTCTTATTTGTTGCAAAAACTGGTATCGTTTTAATCTTTCTACTGCTTCGTTGTTCCAAACTAAAATACTGGGACGCCACCAACGGCAAAAAAAAAAGAAAAAGACAATCCCAGATGACGATTCCCATAAAAAAAGCACCGCCCCGTCACACCAAGGCCGACCAACGGGAAACAGCCAACTAGGATGCCAAAAGGATTAAAAGACCCGGATGACAGGTCCCACATGAAATCACCACCACGGACACCCTACCGTAAGCCGAACAATGGGACGAAACCAACCGGGATGCAGACAAGGGTGCCAAAATTACCAAAACAAATTCTCCCATAACCATAGTAAAAAGACGGATCCATACAAAGCAAAGATCCCAGATGGCGATTTCCACATGAAATATATATATACAGTCAAACAGAGCTGCCCGGTATCCCGGTATATATATATATATCGTTAGATGAATATCAGAGCGCAAAGGCGAAAAAAACAGAAGAGAACAAGAAAAAAAAAAAATCGTTTTTTTATCTTCTTTCTTACAACTCCCCCTGTTCAGAACCTCTTGCGTACAAGGCCGCCCACGTGGATGTAGGTTGAGCGGCGGCTGTGCCCCCACCCCCGTGAATCCCATAACTGATTACACTGTAAGTGATAATCCACCTTAACACGGTTGTGGTTAAGCATCGACGACCGCCCGACAACTGATACCCTCAGGTGGTGGGGACCACCAACCACTGCCCTCAAGGTACCTGCCAGTGTGACGAAAATCAAAGCAGACTATCACTCACCCACACCAGATGGAAAAGGGAGAAGAGGACAACAAACGAGGGGCTGTGACAAACTGTTTCGTCGGAGTTTCTCCACCTCATCAGGAGACAGTCTGCAGAATCCCCTAACTGATTACACTGTATCAGTTGTCGGGCAGCCGTTGATGCTTAACCACAACTGGGGTTAAGGTGGATTATCACGTACAGTGTAATCAGGTTAGGGGATTCTGCAGGCTGATGAGGGTTCAGCCTCCTGATGAGTCGGTGAAACACCGACGAAACAGTTTGCCGCGGCCCCTCGTTTGTTGTCCTCTTCGTCCTCTCTGCCTACGGTTTACCGCGCAGCTCTGTTTGACGATACATATCGTCACACCGTGTATCGAGCGCAAAGGCAAAAAAAGACAAAACAAAAAAGGAAAGAAGTAAGGAAGGAAAGCTCCGCCTGTTCATCACCTCTTACGTACAAGGCCATGTGGATGACAGGCTGAGTGCCGGCCGCCCCCATCCCTGTGTGTCACAAGGACCCACTTGCACGCAGCCAAAAGGCAAAGAGGTAAAGAAAAGGAGGAGGAAACCAAACCTCACAGAGGCAAGAGAAAGAGAAAGGGATTCAGTCAAAGAAAGAAAGGACAAGGAAAAAAAAAAAAAAAAAAAAAAGAAAGGACAAGGGAAGAGGAAGGCCAATCAGTCAAACAAAGCAAATGACACACCCCATCTTTTTTTATTTTCTTCGGCAATTTGTTTTTTGTTTTTTTTTCCTTCTTTTTTTCTTTCTTCTTCTTCTTCTCCCTCCCCTTCCTCTTCTTCTACATTCTTCTTCTTCTTCTTCTTTTCTTCTTCTTTTCTTCTTCTTCTTCTTCTTCATGTTCTTCTTCTTCTTGATGTTCTTCTTCTTCTGTTTCTTCTTCTTTTTCTTCTTCTTCTTCTTCATGATCTTCATTTTCTTCTTCTTCTTCTTCTTCTTGTTCTTCTTCTTGTTCTTCTTCTTCTTCTTCTTCGTTTCTTCTTCTTCTTCATGTTCTTCATTTTCTTCGTTTTCTTCTTCTTCTTCTTCTTCTTCTTCTTCTTCTTCTTCTTCTTCATCTGCCCCCTCTTGACGTCGTGTTGATGCATTTCTGTCGGGTTCTTTGTCTTGCCGACCGCGCCAGATCAGACCCGGCTTTCAAGTGGTGACCGACCATAACAGAAAAGAGGGCAATGATACGAACCCTTCTTCCCCTTCTTCTTCTTCTACTTCCTATATCATCAAAGAGGGAGAAGAGGACAACAAACGAGGGGCTGTGACCCAGTGTTTCGTCGGAGTGTCACCGACTTATCAGGAGGCTGTATAGACGATATATATATCTATATATACACACATATGACGATACCACACGTAAGAATGGAGGAACAATGGGCAGGGGCAGAGGCAGGAAAAAAATGGCAGGGAGATAGGGAGGCGATGGGGGAGATGGTGGGGAGATGGTGGGGAGATGTGGGGAAGATGGGGGAAGATGGGGGGAAGATGGGGGGGAGATGGAGGGAGGGGAGGAGTGGGGAACGGATGGTGGAAACATGGCCCAAGGGGGTGGCTGCACGAATTTGAGAAAGCCAGTGGGAGGCATCCCGGGAGTTAGGGCATCAGCGGGCATCTCTCTCTCTCTCTCTCTCTCTCTCTCTCTCTCTCTCTCTCTCTCTCTCTCTCTCTCTCTCTCTCTCTCTCTCT